AATTGTTATCTTATTGGTTGATCATAGCTTTGTCCCAATTATACCCTCCTTATAATGTGACTTACTTCCTCACTGAACAAATATTACCTAAAAGAGTATAGTTATAATCTTATTATTGCCTGTGATTTTGTCCCACCTTACCCCACCTCATGAGTTTGTACCCACCTTGTGATTTTGCTCTATATAATTTCCTTTAAGAAGTGGGCTCTCACACAGCCCACTTACCAGGTACCCTTCTCTCTCTCTCTCTTAAGATAGCAGCTCTTTCCCTCAGTGAATATTTCCTGTTCTTTTTTTATAGGGTCTTACTATGCAGGTTGGACTCATAGTGATCCTCCTGTTTATAGCCTCCTCAGCACTAAGATAACAGGTGCATCCCACCATTTCCAGATTCGGTCGCTGGCTCAGCGCACCTGCAGGCAGGGCCAGCGTAGCATGTGCTACCAGGGATCAAACCCAGGTCCCTGCACTTGCCTAAGCAGGCACTTAGTCTGCTGATCTATCTCACTGGCCCATTATTTCCTATTCGTAACCTCCATTGTTCATTAGAATTCATTCTTTGATTTTGGAGAACACAAACTTGGCATATCAGACATCTAGCAGGTTGGGAGTTATAATAGTTCCCTTATATTACATGGATTATCGGGAGGACCTATAGCATCCCTATGTCACTACCATCAAAGTTTGTTTTTATTATTGTATTCTCAAAGTCAAATATCTCTCCTGGTTCCTGCCTGTAATCCCAGCACTTGGGAGGCTGAGGCACAAAGATTGCCATGAGTTCATGGCGAGCCTGTACTATAAAGCAAAACTGTCTCTAAAACACAAAACAAAACAAAATTATTTATATAGCGACGTTCCCCGCTGGACCCACCAGGGAGCCCAGAAACCAGCGATTGGCCCCCCACCGAGGCTGATGCCCACCCGCGAGCACCCCCAGGCCCATGACACCCAGGGAAACCCGCCAGGCCCCGGATCCCCGGTGAGCGCGCCCGGAGGCCCAGCATTCAGCTCCTTCAGCTCCTCCAGGTAAGGGACTCCACTTTCGGACACCCTGTAACTCCAACCCATGGTTCCCGAGGCATCTGCAGACACTGATGTCACCAAGCCACAGAGTTGGCATCCGTCGCCCTCTGTGCTAGCCTCCGCCCACACCCCACCAGGCTCGGCCCAGGAATATTATATTTGAAGATGAGCTGCCCTCCTGATTCTTCCTGGGTACCTCAAAACCTGCTGCAGCTGGGCAGGGAGGCAGACTCCCAGGTCGCACTCAGTGTCCGACTACGATCTGTGAGTGGCCCAGAGTGGTTCTGCATGCCTCGGAACAGGCAAGAGGCATTGAAGCTGGGGCTTTGTCTGGTGAACACGAGTTTATCAAGTAGGGAAATAAATAAATAAATAAATAAATAAAATTTCAATGAAAACTGATAAATTATATATTATAAACTATATAAGGATCAAGAAAATAATAAATGATATCCTTTATTCCTTGGAATTGATGAAATAAGTGCACTAATTTTGACATTCCTTTCAGAACAAAAAACTGCAATTGATATTTCTCTTGGGGGAGGATGGTAAAGGGATTATTTTTGTTTTGCAATACTAAGGATTGAACCCCGGACCTCACACATGCTAAGCAAGCACTCTACCACTGACCTACATCCATAGCCTTTTTCACAATTTTGAGACAGTCTCACTAAGCTACTCAGGCTAGGTTCAGATTTATGATACTCTTATCTCATTCTCCTCAGTTGCTAGGCTTACAAGTGTGCACAATGTCTTGCTCGATTGTTGTTCTATACATAAATTAACATGTACCTTATAAATTTATTATATTTGCTCCACACAAAAGATTCCCACATCTGGCTATGTATTCAATCATCTGGGAAACTTCTAAAGAATAGTTTTAGAACCTATTTCCTAGAGATACTAGTTTGAGATGTTTGGACTGGAAGAAAAAAATATATATTTATGTATGTATGTATGTCACATGGATCTATATATATAAATACAAAGTTGACTTTCTTAAGGGAATGTATGCTCTGATTCAGCTAGCTCTTGGGATTGGTTCCACATTTCAGGTTTTCCAAAGTCTACTCACTGTGCATGCAGATCACCTACAGGTTTTACAAGGAGCCAAATTCTGACTGAGTAGGTCTCAAATGGGTCCTGAGAATCTGCAGTTCTAACAAGCTTTCAGGTGATGTACACACTACTCATCCAAGGACCACATTTTAAAGAAGGCATAATGGGCTGGGTGTGGTGGCAGAGGAACACCACAAGTCTGAAGCTAGCCTGGGGCTACACAGTGAGTTCAAGGCCAGCCTGAACTACATAGCAAGACCCTGACTCAAAAAAACAAACGACTTTATGGAATATTTTAGTGTTTCTACAAGTGAAGGACACCAGACATTCTCTTAGGCAATTTCTACCACCGGAATACTTCCTTTAAATTTTATTTACTATAAATCTCCTTTAGCATAGCTACAGTACACAACTAGCAAAATATCTTTACCCTACTAACAAGTGAATAGAAATTATTTCTTCCATGTATAGAGTATCACTGAATGATGAATGCTGATCAGAACACAGATATAAAACTTATATAATTTGGCTAAGGCAAGAGAATCATAAATTCAAGCCCAGCCTTCGCAAATTTTCAATTCAGTGAGACCCTGTCTCACCAAAAAAAATGGAGGGTGAGTAGGGATATAGGTTGTGGCAAAGGCCCTGGATTCAGTGGGTTCACTGCTCAGTACTGAGTGAAAGAGAGATCAGAAAGAAAAAAACATAGATGCTATTATGCTTTGTGTTTAGCTGTGTCCCCCCCCCCAAGCCTCATGTAGTCATGGGGCAGGCTTCTAGAGTATTATTACTGATTAATGGTCCAATGCTGGGATTATGGATGAGTGCTACACCTACCTAGAATGAGTCCTGCATAAGGGAATGAAACAGGCTTGCTCCCTGCCACTCCTCCCTTTGCTCTTATTGCTTTTACTGACTTTCACTACCATAAAGTGTTGCCCTCTGCCATGTGTCACTCTGCCTTGGAGCCATTCAAGAACAGACTAAAACCTCCACAAACTATGAGCTACATAAATCTTTCCTTCCTTAATTCTGAGTGTTAAATATTTTGTTTCAGCAGTGATAGGAAAGCAACCAAGACAGACGGGTAGACAGACACAATAAAATGTTTAAAAGACTGTACTTGAGGGCCGGGGGATGGCTCAGTGGGATAAGCACTTCCCTGGCAAGTGCAAGGACCTGAGTTCAATTCCCGGTTCCGGGAAAAAAAAAAAAAAAAGACTGTACTTGACCTGAAGGTATAGCTCAGTGGTAGAACACTGGCTTAACATTTGTGAGACCCTGATTTCAATCTCTAGCTCTTTAGGTCAAGGGAGGGAAAAACGAAGAAAAGGGGAGGAGGACAAGAGGGGAGGAAGAGGGACACAAAGAGGAGGAAGGAAGAAAGACAGAGAGAGGGAGGGAAACAGGAAAGGAAGGTGGGAAGGAGGTTGAGAGAGAGAGAGAGAGAATACATCTACGCAGCATCTAGAATAAGTTCCAGGCAGTGTCTAGAATAAGTTCCAACCTATATGAATATCAACCTTCAAGCAAATTCAGAATAGGTGAAATAATTGTATTTTATACATACACACCCACAGTGACAGAGACCACTGGAATTTAAATAATAAAATTCTGTACTAGCAATTGGTTTTAATCTTGTTTTTAAGCATTTCATGTGAGAACTGACCACATCTCATGAGAAGACTGAGGTCATAAAGGTTGTCCTTATATGATAGTAATTATCTGTAAATATTCACATTATAATCCTCTCTATGATTTTCTATCCCCATTTAGTCCTTCATTAATTAAAAGTACTATATATACATCATATACATCATCAAAGTATAAATAAGGACCAAAATCAGTGAAACTGGGAAATAAGAAAAAAAATATGAAAAAAGTTAGGGTAACAAGGGAGGGGGGAAAAGGAAAGGAAAAGGAAAAAAGAGAGACTGGAAGGAACAAAATGGAAACAAAGTTTTTATAAATGGGGAGGGGAGGAAGAGTTGACAGGTGGAGAAGGGAATATAATTAAGACATGGTATGTACAGGTACAAATTCACTATGATGAATGTGGTCAATATGTATGACAAATATGTGTTTATAAAAAATAAAGATGAAAAAAGGAAAAAAAAGATTAAAAAAGGAAAAATAATCTCATCAAATCAAATTTCTAGGTAACTTAATTATTATCCCATTGCTTTCATTTCTCTTTTAAACGCATTCCAATCAACTAATGTCAGTAAGACTGCAGTAATTATTTCACACTGAGGCAAACTCAAAGGCATGGAGAGCATATATCAGCAGAGGTCTTCAAAGAATCAAGGAAAACTACCAGACAACACCACCTGATCTTCCCAAATTTTGTTTTAAGAAAGAAAGGTAGATGTCACACTGACTACATCCCTAGGTACTCTCAAGTATTTAATATAATAATCAATCAATGAGGCACATATTTTTTTAAAAGTTTTCAAAATCAGATGTTAGGGGCCGGGGAGATGGCTCAGTAGAATAAGTGCTTCCCTGGCAAGCACAAGGGCCTGAGTTCAATCCCCGGTTCTGCCCCCCCCCCCCGAAAAAAAGAGAGAGATGTTAACAAGCATTTAGGCAATTTGCTGTGGTTAACAAATCAACAGAATTTTCCAAAATAAAGCCACCATTTCTTTATCACTTCTAAAACAAAGAAGAAGGATTAAGGATACTATCACAGTTCTGCAATGCCCTGGGTATATCCCTGGCATTACAAAAAACAAAAACAAAAGCACATAAAGGAAAACCATAGAAGAAAAGGAAGATTGGCATGAGCTCCTAAGATAAGAAGCACAATTTCTGGGAAACGGGATAAACACCTCAATTTTTAAAATTTACAATACATTTTAATCCTGCAGGTCAGCTAAAACCGCAATTTACTAAAACCGAGATTATATACTCACCTGCAGCTCACACCAAGCAACCTCAACCCATGTTTCAGTGTCCAGTCCTTTATATACTGTTTTAAATGCTCCTCTTCCCAGTTCTATGTCAAATTTCAGGAACCTGCCACTAGGAGAAGTCGCTACAGCTTTCATTTCTGCTTCTTCTTCCATTTCCTTCTCATTTTTCTCCTTAGAGCAATCTTTTGAGGCTTCCAAAGTTGCTTTTGAACACTGCTCATATTTACCTTCTTGTCCACCTCTCAATACACTTGTGGGAAGTTTATCTACTCTTGGAATATTTGTTGCAGGCTTTACTCTCTCATCTTTTGAGGAAGATTCAGCAACTTTGTCATCTTCTGTCATCTCAATGCTCTTTCGAAAAAATCTCTTCCTTTCTATCGCTTCACCAGAAGCGGTAAAGGTACCATTTTTTCCCTTTAATCTAGCATCTACTGTCAAAGTTGAAGCAATCTGTGGAACTCTGCTTTCAAAGGAAACTCCATCAGGTTTCTCAGAATCTTCAGTGCTAGCTGGCTCCCCTGAATCAGTGGCCATTGTTACTGAAGTTGGCACTAAAATTTTTCCTGTTCCACTCCTCAGTCCAATTACATCTCAGGTATCAGAATTATCAGAACAGACTTCCGTTTATGTGGTCATATATTCCCATAGCAACCTAAAAGGGGAAAAAGAATATTTAAAATTTACCCCACAAAGCAAATCATTAAGGAGAAAACAAGTCACCTGCTTTTTAATCCCTTTTTTCTTAATAAGAAGTTTATTCTTTTCCTGTCCAATCTTAGCAACCAGTAAACTCCAGGGATTGTGTCTTATCTTGTTTACCACTGTAGCCTACTGTGCACAACAGACATTCAACCTATTGCACAATAATATATCTTCACATTATGTGAATATTGGTTAGGACTGCAGTTTTGTTAGGTGCCTCCAATCTAAGTTCACTTAGCTAGCAGCTAATATATACAATAATTAAAACAACTACATGATTTCTAGGTGGTTTTGATCTAAGATTCAGATTTCATTTGATACTAGTGTCTTTATTGTGATAAATATAT